TTCTCATTCCTTGCCTTTTCAGCTTCTACTGGCCCACCTGTATTTCTGGCATGTGGCCCTTCCTCCATCTTTAAAGCACATCACACTTATCTCTGCTTCCATCATCATATCATCTTCTCTTCTTCTGCAGTCCAATTTTCCTATGCTTCCTTTTTCCTTTTTTTTGAATTTGAAAGTGTTTTACTGAACAAAAGAAGTAAGACCAAAGAGAACACATACCTTTTTTTAAAAGTCGAAATCCAGAAAAAGTAAGCAATATTTTTTCAGGTTTAGGCAGAGTAGAGAAACTACCAAGAAAATCCAGGAAATGCTGACTTTAATAATCAGAATATTGGATCCTTCTTGGGGGAGAAGCAGAATATTAATGGAACAGAATATTGCAGATACTGTAGGTGTTGGTATTATTATTTTTTCCAGCTTAATTGAAATATAATTGACATATAACATTGTGTAATTTTAAGGCACATAATGTGGTGATTTGATGCACGTAAGAAATTTGCAAGTACAAAAGAAAGTATTGTTAACTACGGTCGCCATGCTGAATATTAGACTCCTGGAACTTATTCTTCTTTTAACTGAAAGTTTGTACCCTTGGACCAACATCTCTCCATTTCCCCCACCCCTCAACACCTGCCACAACCATTCTACTCTCTCTTGCTATGAGTTCCACTGCGTTAGATTCCACATAAGTGAGATCATACAGTTTGTCTTTCTCTGACTTATGGACAAAATTGCACACTACTGCCTTTCAGTGACATTGTATTTTATCACAACGCAATGTAAATAAATCATAATTCAATCAGAAATCCCTCAAAGGGAATCAAACTATACATTGAATCTATTGTGTTTAAATTGGAAAGGTTTGTTATGAAAGTCTAAAAATGGAGTATGAACTCTCTCTATATATTGATCACAGTCACAACTGATCACAGAAAATAGATCAGTTTTTGCTGTGTGAAATACAGAGAAGAGAAATTAAGGTACAGGAAACATTCAATGACTCTAAAGACGAAATACCCTTAAGTGTTTGTATTTTACAATATTTAACTATGTTTATAAATATATTATTTACACCCAATACATAAACTATATTTTAACACTTAAATTGGAATCAGCTTTCCTGATACGAATGAGATAGAGATGCTGTATTTTTGTAATTTAAAAAAAGAAGCCTAGAATTCATTAGCAAAGGAGTGTGTGTACATGCGTGCAATGTATGTGAAATGGAGGTGAACATAAACAGGTGAAGAGCACTGGATGATATACACCAGGCCTAACGAGGTCAGAGATTAGCCATCATGGATTTCTTTCTTGTGTTGTCTTCATCTGTAAGGATGTGCAGTGCCCAGGGGTCAGAATGAATGACACTAAAAATATTTGTTTAATGAGGAGCTTTGGATATTGGTCCTCCAGAGATATAGAGACTGTATAGTGTCAGCCTGTGACAACCTCACTCAACAGCCCTTGCCTGGTCAGGAAGAAGCACACCTGAGGCTCCGCCTAGGGATGAGCCTAGTTGGCCAGGATCCCGTTGCCTCACTTGGTCTCTCTGCTCTTCCTGAAGACATATGTTCTGTCTTTAATATCCAGGTGACATGTCAAGTACCATTCCACAGTGATGCCAGTCAGGTAACTTAAAGCCTCTTAAGTTCATTAGTTAATGTTTTGGTCATGAGAACAAGTGTTTTGCTATAAATTCATCTGTGGGAAGAAATGAGGCGAGCACATGCACAGGACGATTAGATCCAAGTGTCCATGGGACCTCAGACTAACTGTCTTCTTGTCGACAAGTTCCCGTATATGTATGTATCAATACTCAGCCAGTTCTCAGTCTACTAGTCTCCTAATTTCTCCAAAAAATGGCAGAAACTGTTTTCCTCCTGAGCAGAAATCTGCCTCTTCTCAACTTGATGACTGTTATAAAATTTTGTGAAATTTACTTGAATTCCTGTGTCATCAGGGTGAAGGGGTTTGGTCAGTTTTTCCTTTTATTTCCATTCCTGGTTCTTGATACTCGGTTGTACAGATGAGTGTTTGTATTATCCTTGTAGCTGGGCTGTGAGGATGCTGGAGAGAAAGTGGAGACACAGAGAAACTAGATGGCTGCCTTCCTAGTGTGCTTGTTTCTCTTTATGAAATTACCGCGTATTTTATGTAAGAAGAGGAGGGGTGGTATAACAAAAAATACATATGACTATCCTTCAACTCATTCTAGAATTAATAATGTTGACATTCTGCTATAACAGCTTCAGGTCTTTTTTATAAAGTAGCAAAATAATATGCAAATGGAAGACACCTCTTTTGCATCCCCCTCAGATCCTGTTCTCCCCATCCTAGAGACAACACCATCTAGAATGTGAGGGTATCCCCCATGCATGGTGTTATATTGTATGTGTATTCATAAACATCTATAGGATGAAAGGAATTGAGCATAATATCAATTAGTTTGGGAATGCAGAATTAAATCGTGATGTAATGATATAGTGGAATACTCTCTGCTAATTAAAATTAATGAAGCAGTACTAAATACACCAACATTAATAACAAATAAATTACATAAGGATGAAAATTGTGAATGACATGTACAATACATGTCGGTTTATATAAAGCTTTAAAAATGCAAAACAGTGCAATTGTTTATGCAACAATAATAGTAACATAGTGAAAGTTTCGGAGGAAGAACATGTAAAAAGTTCATGTAGTGGTTTCCTTGGGGAAGGTAAAGAATCAAGATTGTTCAAATACATGATGTGGGTGCTTCACACATATTATTTATTGCAATAAAACACCTACAAAGAGTATAGTGAAATGATGAATTTGATAAATTTGACTAATGGATACCAGCTCTTCATTGTTACTCTGTACTTTTGTTTTGCTTTAATAATCTATAATAGAAATAAATGTATCTATGTATGATCAAAAATATTTAAAGTCTTCTCCTGTTGTGGACTTTCTGTCATACAAAATTTTTTCTTTTATAAGTTTTCATTATTTGTGTTGATTCATATATCTGATTCTTTTAATTATTTCATTCATCTTTTTTTAAATTTTTTGTTTATTGAAGTAACATTGGTTTATAACATTGTATAAATTTCAGGTGTACATCATTATACTTCTATTTCTGCATAGATTACATCATGTTCACCACCCAAATACTAATTACAACCCATCACCACACACATGTGCCGAATTATCCCTTTCACCCCCCTCCCTCCCCCTTTCCCCCCGGTAACCACCAATCCAATCTCTGTCTCTATGTGTTTGTTTGTTGTTGATATCAGTAATCATTTGGCACGCACATATGATGAAATGTTTCCTTCATTCCTTTTCTACACGAAAAATGTTCCCAGCTGGAGTTTCAACTCGGAAACTTTTCCCTGAAATTTGCAGTTATCATCCAAGAGTGCTCTCTCTTTCTAGTTTCTTTCTTCAACTCTCTCTTTCTGTTTTCTGTCTTCAACTTGCCTCACCTCATTGCTCTCTTTTGAGAAGTGAAATGTGCCAGCAGCTGTTCTTCACGGGAGAAAAACAAAAAAACACAATAGGAAATGTCACTACGATAGTCTCCTATGCTGAGTGCTGTGTTAGATGCTTTTCCTCCATTCATTTCTCATAATTGCAACATCCTCATAAATTTTTATGACAGTTCCCATTATACAAATGAGGACATCAGGCTTTTTAAAGTTACAAACAAAACTTGTTCAAAAAAAATTGAACAATTTTCCTCATTCACAAAGAGAGTGCTGGTCTTGATTAAATTCAGTGTTTGAATATAAATAATACACCAAATGATAAAGGTCATCATCGCCACATCTTTTGCCCACTTGAGAAGGAGGACCACCGCTTTACAGAGACAATCATATTAGGACACTTGATTATCTTATAAGTGTCATACAGGTCTCTCTTCTCTTGTAAATATCTGTCTTCCAATGACCAAAAATTGAAGCTATTTTCACCTCTTTTCTTAGGAGACTTTGCATTTCATTCTTTCTCTCATTTAACTGTTTTTTTTTTTTTTAATGATATGCCACCTATCACCTTAGGGGACGAAATTCTGTCAGGATGAAACAGAGAATCTCACTGACATGGTTTTCCAGCATATCTTAGAATCCATCACTAATGCAATTGAGTAGTCTTTACATAGGGGAGTCTTATGAACTTCAAGTTTATAGGCTACATTTTCTGATCTTTGCTCAGGTGCAGAGCAAACACTTTGATGGATGCCATGCACCTGCCACACAATAATTTGGAGTTAGATGTGGACATACCTTGTCAGGAAATGAATAGATTTGAGGCATTGTTAAGGATGAGATATTACAATTTTAAAGGGGAGTTATGAACTATGAGTGATGGTTTAGAATGCTAATTCTGTACATCCAGAGGCATTAACCAGTTAGACAAATGAGTCAATTCAGCAGTCAGATGATCTGATCTAAGACCTAGTCTTTGCCATGCACTAACCATGTATTTCATGTCCATGATGTAATCTCACCTTACCTAAGTTTCCCCAATGATACATGGAGTGATTGGATGGTCTAATTCATCTGCAATTTAACAAGCCCTTCAGATGATTCTGAGGCATGCCAAGGTTGGGGGACCATACTCTACAAAAGAGATCGGATAACTTCATTTTCGCCTTCTGTTTGTTCAAGGCAAGAACATTTCTGAAGGAAACATCATGTCTTGTTCTTTGTTTCAGTCTCAGAGTGAGAGGTGATGATGGAAGGAGAAATTAACAGAGGGGAAGATTTGAATGTTCTCTTGGGTTCAAAATACAGAGAGTTTTATTCTTTATTTTAAGCACTGGTTCTCAAACTTTAGCATATATCAAGTTCATCTGGGTGGCTTGTTAAAACTTAGATTGCTGGTCCTCACCCTAGAATTCATCAGCAGTAAGTCTGGAGCAGTACCATCATTATTCATTTCTTGTAATTTCCCCGTTGATGCTTCTGCTTCTTATCCAGAGATTATTCATTTTGTTTTCTTTTCACCCCATCTTTTCCATCAGGTTCATCAACAACATGGAACCCAGAAATCACACAGATGTTTCAGAATTCCTTCTACTGGGATTGACAGATGATACAGAATTGCAGCCTCTCCTCTTCATTCTATTCCTGACCATGTTCCTGGTCACCATCCTGGGAAACCTACTCATCGTTCTGACTGTCATCTCTGACTCTCACCTGCATACACCCATGTACTTCTTTCTCTCCAATCTGTCTATTAGTGACATCTGTTTAAGCACAACCACGATCCCCAAAATGCTGATGAACATCCAAGCACAGAATCAGAGCATCACTTATGCAGGTTGCCTTACACAGATTTACTTTGTCCTGGTTTTCGCTAGTTCAGAAAATTTTCTTCTTGCAATAATGGCCTATGATCGCTATGTGGCCATTTGTCATCCTCTGAGGTACACAGTCATCATGAACTTCCACTTCTGTGGACTGCTGATTCTATTCTCTCTGTTCATTAGCATTTTGGATACCCTACTCCACAGTCTGATGGTATTGCGACTGACCTTCTGTTCAAATCTGGAAATCCCCCTCTTCTTTTGTGAAGTTGTTCAAGTCATCAAGCTTGCATGTTCTGATATCCTTATCAATAACATCCTGATATATTTTGCAACTAGTGTATTTGCTGGTATCCCTGTGTGTGGAATTATTTTCTCTTATGTTAAGATAGTCTCCTCTGTTTTGAGAATGCTATCAGTGGATGGAAGATATAAGGCTTTTTCCACTTGTGGATCTCACCTCGCAGTTGTGTCCTTATTCTATGGGACAGGTTTTGGGGTGTACATTAGTTCTGCTCTTGCTATCTCTTCCAGAAATATTGCAGTGGTTTCAATGATGTACACTGTTGTCCCTCAAATGCTGAACCCCTTCATCTATAGCCTGAGGAACAGGGACATGAAGGGAGTCTTGAGAAAACTCATCAGTAGGATACCTTCTCTTCTTTGATTGTGTCACCTGCTTTGGGCCAGGGTGTCTAGAATGAATCAAAGAGCTGGAAATACTGGGTGAGACAGTGTCTGATTTTTGCACATCAACTTCTTCCAAATGACTAGATAAAATAATGGGTAAGATAATTTTACCTTGGAGTTGAAACTTCACTTGTTGTTTGTATAGCTCCGTGGTGTTTCAAAAATGAGTTCCAGTCCCTAAGCTCAGTGTCTTTGGTGGGGTCGTTAGTAGCTGACCTGAGGCAAGGATTATACTGATATTGTTGGAACGTCAGAAGAAGAAAAGTGGGAGAAGTTGAAAAGGTCAGGAGGAGGATCGATTAATTCTCTGATCATAGCAGAGACTTGATTCTGTCTGATCTCATGGTCAGCACCATGTGAATTGCACCCCAGAGACAAGTCTACTGTGAGACAGGTGAGGAGGTTTTCTTTCATACTCCAATTCAATTATTCCTGAGACTTATCACCGGTCAGTTGTATCTATGCAAGGCACTACACTCAGTTTTATCATCTATAAAATTGGTATAATGTGATTATCAGTGGTTAGAGATGATTGTGAGACCTTTGATCTTGATCAGTGAGAAAGCCATTGTTTCTACTAAGAGAAAGTAACTCTGAGTCTAGTATGCCAAAACAATAAACATAGTTATCTTTCATTACAGGGACTTCAGAGGTAGCGAATGTAGAGAAAAATTCATTTACTCCTCCATGCGGTGTCTTTTTCCTGGGGCTGGTCCTCTCATGGACCCAAACGTCTGCAATAGATGCGGGCATCATAGCTAGACTTGATGACCAGAGAAAGAAATCTGACTCTTCTTCCCTAGGCCTACTGAGACTTAACACTGCATGAAGTCATCCAGAATATACACCTTTCATTCCCTTCATCATGAATAATATTATTGGTCATCTTCATCTTGCATCTTATTTTCTTCGAAACCTTCTCATTTGTTTATTTGTAAGAAAGTGTCTAAATTTTCACACTTCTCCTTAATCATCTGATCTTGTTGTGTTTCTTACTCATTTCTGGTGGAGTCCACATGGACATCATATTTGAATAAAATTAATTGTATCACTGATGTCTTAGAGCATTGGCTGCACTCAGGGTTCTCATGCAAAACTTTTTAATGTATCTTTATGAGGAAAGTTATTCTGTGGAGGACTACTTTACTGTGAGAAGTAGAGTGGTGAGTGCAAAATAAAAGAAGAGAAAGGGAATTTAGTAAAATTAAGCAGATCGTATGTCCCATAATCACAAAATTTCAAAGAATGATCTCTGTGGTTGTGGGGTGAATGCAGTGGAGGTCTCAAGGGAGGATCAAATAAGTTGCAGGAGATCCTTCTGTTCTGGTCATCACTGGAGGCTGAGGGAATTGGTTTATTTTCAGCACCACATCTGGGATACAGCCCCTGCCTGGAAATCATGGTACCCCCTACTGCAGAGCTTCCTGCATTGATGTTCACAGAACACCTGCTGTTGAATCACTCGGGGCCTTTTCACATACAACTGGTTTCCAAATCTCACTCAAGAACTACTGATTGAATATCTACAAAACATGTGAGGAATGAGCCTTTTCAATAAGCACCCTGTAAGATCCTGATGACCTCTGAAGTCTGAGACACATGACGTCAATATTAAAAGAATATGGCAAAATGTATTTAGATTAGGAATATTGGAGGCCTTTCCTCATTTTAACTTTTTAAGGTAACATATACTAAGTAATGCATAAAATCTGTCTGTGGTTCTGAAGGAATAGAAAAATAATAAAAACATATATGCCTATTCAGGGGGTAAAAGTAGAGCAATGTCATCATTATAGAATCCACCTGAAGCATCTCCCACTCGCATCGCTGTGTCCCCTCAAGTGGAAAACACTATTCTGAATCCTGTACTTACTTTTTTTTCCAGTAACTTTATTGAGATCATAATGGTTTATAACATTGTGTAATTTCAGATGTACATTATTGTTTATCAATTTCTGAGTAGACTTCATTGTGATCACCCCGAGTAGTCTAATTATTGTCCCCGATTGTACATACGTGTCCCTTTACCCCTTTAACCCAACCCCCACCCACCTTCCCCTCTGGTAACCACCAATCTGTTTTCTTTATCAATGTATTTGTATATTCCTCACATGAGTGAAGTCATGCAGTATTTGTCTTTCTCTGTCTGGCTTATTTTGCTTAACATCACACCCTCCAGGTCCATCCGTGTTGATGCAAATGGGAAGATTTTGTCTTTTATATGGCTGAGTAGTATTCCATTGTATATATATATACACCACATATTCTTTGTGCAATCATCAGTTGAGGGGCACTTGGGTTGCTTCCATGTCCTGGCTATTGTGAATAATGCTGCAATGAACATAGGGGTGCATAAATCTCTTTGGATCATTGATTTCAAGTTCTTTGGATAAATGCCCAGTAGTGGAATGGCTGGATGGTATTTCTACTTTTAATTTTTTGAGAAATCCCCATACTGTTTTCCATAGTGGCTGCACCAGTTTGCATTCCCACCAGCAGTGCACGAGTGTTCCTTTTTCTCCTTATCCTCTCCAAAATTTGTTGTTTTTTGTCTTGGTTATTACAGCCATTCTGACTGGTGTAAGGTGATATCTCATTGTCCTTTTTTTTTTTTGAATCTCATTGTAGTTTTGATTTGCATTTCCCTGATAATTAGTGATGTCGAATATTGTTTCATGTGTCTGTTGGCCATCTGTTTGTCTTCCTTGGAAAAATGTCTATTCATATCCTCTGCCCATTTTTCAATTGGGTTGTTTGGTTTTTTTGTTGTTGAGTTGTATGAGTTCTTTACATATTTTGGAGATCAACCCCTTGTTGGATAAGTGATTTGTAAATATTTTCTCTGAGGTAGTAGGTTGTCTTTTTGTTTTGTTCATAGTTTCATTTGCTTTGCAGAAGCTTTTTAGTCTGGTGTAGTCCCATTTGTTAACTTTTTCTTTTGTTTCCCTTCCCCGGTCAGACATGTTACTTGAAAGATCAATTTCAAATAGTGTACCACTTATATTTTCTTCTAGGAGTTGTATAATTTCAGGTCTTATATTCAAGTCTAACCAATTTTGAGTTAATTTTTGTGTATGGTGCAAGGTAACGGTCTACATTCATTCTTTTGCATGTAGCTGTCCAGTTTTCCCAACACCATTTATTGAAGAGACTTTCCTTTCTCCATTGTATGTTCTTGGCTCCTTTGTCAAAGATTAACTATTCATAGATATGTGGGTTTATTTCTGGGCTTTCAATTCTGTTCCATTGGTCTGTCTGTATTTGTGCCAGTACCATGCTGTTTTGATTACTACAGCTTTGTAGTATATTTTGAAGTTTGGGATTTTGACACCTCCAGCTTTGTTCTTTTTTCTCAGGGATGCTTTGGCTATTAGAGGTCTTTTGTTGTTCCATATGAATTTTAGGATTCTTTGCTCTATTTCTGTGAACATTTTTGCGTTGAATCTGTAGATTGCTTTAAGTAATATGAACATTTTATCTATCTTTATTCTTCCAATACATGAGCATGGATGTCTTTCAATTTCTTTGCATCTTCTTCTATTTCTTTCAATAATGTCTTACAGTTTTTAGTGTATAGGTCTTTCTCTTCTTTGATGAAACTTATTCCTTGATATTTTATTCTTTTTGTTGCAATTGTAAATGAGATTGTATTCTTGACTACTCTTTCTACTAGTTCATTATTAGTGCAAAGAAATACTACCGATTTTTGTAAGTTGATTTTGTACCCTGCAACTTTGCTGTAGTGGTTGATTATTTCTAATAGTTTTCTGATTTTATTTATTTAGGGTTTTCTCTATATAGAATCATGTCATCTGCAAACAGCAAGTTTCCTTTCTTCCTTTAAAATTTGAATTCCTTTTATTTCTTTTTATTTCCTGCTTTCTTTGGCCAAAACCTCCAGTACTATGTTGAATAGGAGTGGTAAGAGTGGGCACTCTTGTCTTGTTCCTGTTCTCAGAAGGATGGCTTTCAGTTTTTCCCCATTAAGTATGATGATAGCTGTGGGTTTGTCATACATGGCCTTTATTATGTTGAGGTACTTCCCTTCCATACCCATTTTATTGACAGTTTTTATGAAAAATGAATGTTGGATCTTGTCAAATGCTTTCTCTGCATCTCTTGAGATGATCATGTGATTTTTATTCCTCATTTTGTTAACGTGGTGTATCACATTGATTGATTAGTGGATGTTGAACCATCTCTGTGTCCCTGGTGTAAATTCCACTTGATCACAGTGTAGCATCTTTTAGTGTATTGCTAATTCAGTTTGCCAATATCTTGTTGAGATATCATCTTAAACCTGTCAGAATGTCTATAATTACCAAGGCAAAAATAACAAATATTGGAGAGGATTTAAAGAAAGGGAACCATCTTACACTGCTAGTGGGAATACGAACTGGTGCTGCCATTATGGAAAACAATATGGAGATTTCTCAAAAAATTAAAAATAGAAATATCGTATGATCCAGCTATCCCACTACTGGGTATTTATGCAAAGACCTTGAAGTCAACACTCCAAAGAGATTTATGCACCCCTATGTTCATTGCAGCATTATTAACAATAGCCAAAATGTGGAAGCAATCCAAGTGCCCATCAACTGATGAATAAATAAAGAAGGTAGGCATATATATCCAATGGAATTCTACTCAGCCATAAAAAAGACAAAATTGTCCTATTTGCAACAACATGGATGGACCTTAAGGGTACGATGTTAAGCAAAATAAGCCAAACAGAGAAAGACAAATACTGTATCATTTCACTCATATGTGGACGATAAACAAACACATGGACAGAGAAAACAGATTAGTGGTTAAAAGAGAGGAAGGGGATGGGTGGTGGCCCAGTGGCATAGTGATTAAGTTCATGTGCTCCTCTTTGTCAGCCTGGGATTGGCAGGTTCAGATCCTGGGTGTGGACCTATGCACTGCCCATCAAGCCATGCTGTGGCAGTGTCCTATATACAAAATGGAGCAAGA